TATTGATTTTTTTCAAAGCAACTTTGCAGTGATAATAGGAAATGAAAGTCACAGAGATTGTTTAGGCTTTACAGCAGCTCTAGAATAAAGTTAGTTAGTTGTGATTGATTCACTTGCGTTGCATTGATCATTAGTTATTAACTTGCTAGTTGCTAGTAGCATGAATAGCTTTAGCTAGTTGCTCGCCAGCACTGACAGCACTTCAGTGGTCCAGGCATGCGAGTTTAAGGCTGATCTTCTGTCTCCCGGGTGGATTGACTCCTGTGGTTTCCACTTTGCTCTCTAGTTACACATCCAGCGTATGACCTCCAGTGTTCACGTGCGCCGCTCCACACACGCTCTCATCTTCCTCTCCGGGACAATGATGGGAAGCGGGAAGGTCAATGGCAGCTGCTTGTTTTCGCTCCAGTTGTCCGTCTCTCTGTAATCGTGCAGTTTGATGGCGAGGTGTTTGCTAAAGGCCAAGCACCTCTGCAAAGACGGCGGGAGTGTTTACCAAAAACAGCTCTAATACGCTTCCCAAGGGCCTTGACGAACTCTTGGTTTGATGCCAGAGGAAGGGTCTGTTTTATGTCCCTTTTTCTTTGTTTTCTTCCCCAAGTCAGCAGCAGAGCTTCCACCAAATATCAGCTTTATTTGTGTGTTTGGTCAGAGAGTCTGAGCTGAGCAAACACAGGCCGGAAACGGTTAGCAGGGGGTCAGGAGGGGATGACCTTCGACCCCTCAAACAGGAAGGACTCGCATCCTCCAAAACACAGTGACTCCTGACTAACCATACGCAGTGCCGATCCTAGACTTCTGTCCATGCGTTCATAAAACCCCCAAATGACCCCCGAACCATTAATCTGTGTTTTCGGAGCAGTTGCACTTTCAACAAACAACAGTGAGTTGACACAGTCAGTAATACCATGAACAATAGGACACATACAAGATAGAAACATACAAATTAAACAAACAATTTAACCTATAATAATAGCCAACTTACAGAAATTGAATAAAGTAATCAAATGTAAAACTAAAACTCTGTATAGTCTTCACCGTATGAATTAAATATGTACTGACACTGATTAAGTTATTCAGCGACGAGCAGTGAATGATTCTTTTGTTGTTTGATTAATGACACGGATCGCAGGTTTATTAGGCGGCTGTCATTTTAAGATCAAATGCACAGATCTAGTATACTGACGCTCATTTGCATATTCATAGAACTGCGTATACTAAATGAGGCAAGGGTGTAGAGTTACATTCAAGCTATTTTATAATTTTTTTCAAGGAAAATGTTTAAAAATATGTCATTTTGGTGATCAAAGATGAGTTTTAAGAGATAAAATTATACAGGGGGACTTTAATATTGTGATATTTTAGACACAACATCGTCTATTTTGCCAATGAAAAAAATTTACCTATAAAGCCATAGTAGAACTGTTGTGTATCTGCAGTTTGAGCGAATCAATCGGGTGAACCAATGATTCAATGACTCATTTATATAGAGTGCCAATTTACTTCTGAATGAATCTGCAGTTTGAGCGAATCAATCGGGTGAACCAATGATTCAATGACTCATTTATAAAGAGAACCCTTTACTTCTGAATGAATCTGCAGTTTGAGCGAATCAATCGGGTGAACCAATGATTCAATGACTCATTTATATAGAGTGCCATTTACTTCTGAATGAATCTGCAGTTTGAGCGAATCAATCGGGTGACCCAATGATTCAATGACTCAATTATAAAGAGAGCCATTTACTTCTGAATGAATCTGCAGTTTGAGTGAATCAATCGTGTGAACCAATGATTCAATGACTCAATTATATAGAGAGCCATTTACTTCTGAATGAATCTGCAGTTTGAGTGAATCAATCGGGTGAACCAATGATTCAATGACTCAATTATAAAGAAAGCCATTTACTTCTGAATGAATCTGCAGTTTGAGCGAATCAATCGGGTGAACCAATGATTCAATGACTCATTTATATAGAGTGCCATTTACTTCTGAATGAATCTGCAGTTTGAGCGAATCAATCGGGTGAACCAATGATTCAATGACTCATTTATATAGAGTGCCATTTACTTCTGAATGAATCTGCAGTTTGAGCGAATCAATCGGGTGAACCAATGATTCAATGACTCAATTATAAAGAGAGCCATTTACTTCTGAATGAATCTGCAGTTTGAGCGAATCAATCGGGTGAACCAATGATTCAATGACTCATTTATATAGAGTGCCATTTACTTCTGAATGAATCTGCAGTTTGAGCGAATCAATCGGGTGAACCAATGATTCAATGACTCAATTATAAAGAGAGCCATTTACTTCTGAATGAATCTGCAGTTTGAGTGAATCAATCGGGTGAACCAATGATTCAATGACTCAATTATATAGAGAGCCATTTACTTCTGAATGAATCTGCAGTTTGAGTGAATCAATCGGGTGAACCAATGATTCAATGACTCATTTATAAAGAGAGCCATTTACTTCTGAATGAATCTGCAGTTTGAGCGAATCAATCGGGTGAACCAATGATTCAATGACTCATTTATAAAGAGAGCCATTTACTTCTGAATGAATCTGCAGCTTGAGCGAATCAATCAGGAACCAATGATTCAATGACTCATTTATAAAGAGAGCCATTTACTTCTGAATGAATCTGCAGCTTGAGCAAATCAATCAGGAACCAATGATTCAATGACTCATTTATAAAGAGAGCCATTTACTTCTGAACGAATCAGCTGTTTGAACAAATCGAATGAATGAATGATTCAATGACTCACTCATTTCCCGGCACCTACTGGCAGTATTAGTTTCTTATAATTTTTTTTACATGAAATGATACTCTAAATTTCATATTTTGGGGATAGTTTGCCCAAAAATGAAAATTCTGTTTATTTACATACAGTATACTCAATGTTGTTTCAAACCCGTATGACTTTATTTCTTAAAAGAATGTCAGTAAGTAATTCAGATGCAGCTTCTGAGAAAAAAAAAGACCATTGTAGGCTAAAAGTTTGCTTTTGTTGATTCAAATATTTTTTTTCTATAAAATTATTGACTGCAGGGCGACTTTAAAAGCAGCAAACGAATGCAAACACAAAACACAAAAGCATTATATACACCCTAACTGTTGACCACTACCTATTCCGGATGAGCATCAAAGCACTGGACAAACAAACAGCGCTTCAGAGGTCAGGAACGCCTCCGGAGAAGAGGAAACAAGAGCTTCAGAAGCCTCGTCCATTGAAGACGGATCCAGCACGTAGAGTCCTCCAGAAACTGACCCCGTGTCAGTGTGTGTGCTCTCGCTACGGCCGCCGCCGGAGAGGAATGCGAGGGTTTGTTCTTGACTCATCTTCCCGGGGACTCGTCTTCCCTTTTGAAGAACAACACCTTCCCTTCTTTGTGTGTTCCTGACAATAGAGACCCGGGCCCCGTGTTTCGGAAAGGCCACGCATACCAGACCTCGGACACAATAAATCCCCTACTGGCTCATTATTTCTGATTGCGGCCACAAGGTCATCGAGCAGGCCTTCCTATAAACACCCCCGTCCCGTTCTCCGGTCCGCGTATCCCGACCCCATCACGTGACGGAGCCAGTTTTGCTGAGGCGAGATGGGAGTTGTTGTAAATGGCGTGTCGTCCCATTGTTGCGCTCTCAAATCAATGCAACCAATGGGAGGATTTATTTCCTGTATGTTTCCAAATTAGGACTCAATGATATCCAGCATAACGGGGTTCAAGGTTATCATACGTTTCCTGAATATCTGAGATATTAATATGCAGCAGCTGACGCACACAGATGACCCAACAAACCTGTGTTTAATAAATGGGTTTCAACTGCGATTGTGTGTGTATTATTGGGAGAAACTATACTTGGAAAGACTTAAACTTGGGACAGTGTTGTTAATTATTGTAACTATTAATTAAACATTAGTGTGCGTTATCATACTGCCATTTCATAAAAGCTATTTAAAGTTTGCTAAGGACGTTTAATGCTGTGATTGGCTAATTGCCGTAATTAACAGGATAAACAATGTCAGTATTTGAGCACTTCGTCATTGGCTGAAGAGTAAGAAAAAATCCTAAAAATTAATACATTTCAGAAATGTTGTGGACATTTGCTCATTTGCTACTATTGTATTATATAGAATTCGGTCAATGTGGATTTGTTTTAATTACCAATGCCGATATAAATATACAATATAATTGATATCACAATATTTAATTTAAAGATAGCAAATAATAGTTGCAGTGAAACTAATCCTTAACATATTTACTAAATTAGAAATAAATCATAAGAAAATTAATCAATATGAAAAGAATTGATTTGATCTTGAACATTTGAAAGAAAAAAAATTAATAGTATTGTCATTTTACTGTTGTTCCTTTAAAATAAAATTATTATTATTATTAAATACTTGTTTTTTATTTGACAGTACAATAGCATTATTGCAACAGTAGTTTATATATATATTTTACTATTTTTTTTTTTTTATAATTTAAATACAATTTTAATAAAATGTTTTTTAATAATAATAATATAAAGCCATATTGGATTTCACATCACAATATTTAATTTAAAGGTAGTAAATAATACTTGCAGTGAAATTAGAAATAAATAATTAGAATATGAATCAATATGAAAACAATTAATTTGATCTTGATCGGGAAAAAAAAACAGATTTGCAACTTCTTGATTCTGTAATCCTATTGTAATATTTTTTTTTATGAATAAAGAAGTTGTAAAAATTTTGACTAGAAAGGATCATGTCAAAATAAAAGTCCCGTTTCCGACACTTATAAGCAAACAGTAAAACGGATATGCTGATGCTGATAATTAAAAAAATCATCTGATCACTAGTATTATTACAATACCAAACCAGTAGTTATTGACTTAATCAATTTAAACACTGAGCATTGCGCTTTAAATGGACTTTTAACTTTTTTTCTTGGTGCTCTTGAGAAATATTTGAGATGAAATGAGATGTTTTGTAAGTCGTACTCACTTGGGTTCGGTATATATGGCTTGACCTGCAAGTTCCTCTTGACTTGTGTTTCTTTGTCACAAAACTAAGATCACAAAAGAAAACGAGAAGAGATGATTGTATAATATGGGCTTTGGAGAGAGTCATTTTTGCACAACAGAGCTCCACAAACCCCATGATGCGTGGCAAAACAAAGTTGAACTGTGCATTCGAGGTCCCACGAGCTGGACGGCAGGTCCTGGAGCATCTCGAAGGAGAACCTGAGCTTGTTGGGGCAGTCGTTGAAACACGACTCCTCTTTGAGCGATATTTTCCTCACCACTGGCGTGGATCGAACCCAACACCGGCTGACCTTGATGCTGAACGGGATCCCTTCGATGATCGGATGGGAGATCTGGTGAAGAGAAAGACAAACTAAAACTGTGGTGTACATGCATACAGAACCTCAATCAATAAACTTGACATTTGATAACCTCTCGTGCTCTTCGGTCACTTTTGCCGAATTTTTTTTTTTTTTTTTTTTTTTTAATGTTCTACGTCGGAATTGTACGAAACTTGGTAAACGTTTTGGCACTTGCTATGTGAACACAAAAAATAAACAGGTTAAATGGTCCTGAAAAAAATAGTCATCGCGGTCAAAAATGAGACGAATTTCATCTAGTGGAAGCGTTTGGTACTGCAGACGAACAACATCTTATTGAAAGCTCATTTTTTGAGGTATCAGGCTCAAATTTTGAACACAACTCGTTTAGATTTTTCACTTTTTTTAAGTTCGCTTTTGAAAAAAAAATTCACTTCAGCAATAATCTGCCAAATGTCGTCTTTGAAAAGAGATCAGATTTCCAAATTTGCAATGAGAATCATTTATAAATCAAAAGAGAAGATGTGAGGTCTCCCAGTGGCCAAAATAAAAACTATACAGTTTAACATTTGAAAGCAAAAGAAAAAAATAACAAAAATTAATAGTATTGTCATTTTACTGTTGGGTATTTAAAATAAAATAATAATAATAATAATTATTATTATTATTTATTTATTTTATTTGACAGTACAATAGTATTGTTGCAACAGTAGTATATTTATTTATTTATTTAATAAATAATAATTAAAAATTAAATATTTTTTGAATAATACAAATAATAACAATAATACGCAAAGTAATTGAAGGCAAAGAAATTAAGACAATCATAAATATTAATATTGTAATTGTACTGTATTGTAAAATATTATTATTATTATTTATTTTCAAATAATAGTTTTTTATTTTAAAGTGCAATCGTATTATTTCAACAACAATATATTTCTTTATTTAATTAAAATGTATAATTTAAATACTAATAAAATAATACTAAATACTAATAAAATAAAATATTTTCATTTTAATAATACAATAACCTAAGAAATTAAGACAACCATAAATATTAGTATTGTAATTTAGTATTAGTATCCAAAATGCTAAGGTAATGTATTTGATGTTATTTGTGAAATTTTTATAATTAAAAACGTATATATATTTTGAATAATAATAATTATTGTATTATTACTATTAACCACAACATCAATAATAATAATAATATCAATAATAACAGTAGTTGTTTAGACATTGAATGGGGAGCGCATTAACATGCTAGTGACTGAACGCTGCGACGATGGCTCATGCATCACAATGCACGTATAATAAATGTAGAATATGAGCCTTGAACACATGAGACCGATCTACCTCCGCATAGACCCTCTTGTCACTCAGAACTTTGCTGCTGGAATCCAGAGGTGACCTGAAGTCTGGAGACGAGAACAACAGCATCTCAAAAAGAGCCGCTGATTTAGAAGTGGGTGCCGGTGTCGTGAGCTGCCCTTCTGCTGGTCCTGCGGCACAGAAACAGTGATGACACAGTGAGATGTACAGTAATAACGCTTTACAGGAACACTTGAGCGGCACACGTGTGTCGGAAAAGACGACAGCGGCAAATCAACATGCGCATGTTTTCATGCATGTTAGTACGCATTCAACAGATTGACCTCTCGGAATTTTTTTTTTTTTTTTTTTTCTTCATCGGAATGGTACGAACTTGCTACGTGAACATGGACATGATTCGAACTGGTTAAATGGCTCTCTTTATGAATGAGTCATTGAATCATTAATTCATTCGATTTGTTCAAACAGCTGATTCATTCAGAAGTAAATGGCTCTCTTTATGAATGAGTCATTGAATCATTGGTTCACCCGATTGATTGATTTATAGGTAATGTTTTCATTGGCAAAATTGAGCAAAAACATACAATATTGTGTCTAAAAGAACCCAATATTAAAGTCCCCCTGTAGTCAATAATTGTATCCCTTAAAACTCATCTTTGATCACCAAAATGACATATTTAAACGTTTTTTACTTGATAAAAATTCTTCATGCCTTAAAATAGCTTGAATCTAACTCGACACCCTTGCCTCATTGGTTCTATGAATATGCAAATGAGCCCCGCCTCCACTCACTCACTCAGCTCAGAGATCCACTGGTTGACGATCACACGTTGATCTGATTGGTTACAAGGTCGTTTGTGACGTCAGAAACACCAGCGATTTCAAACCGTGTTTTTGAGACTTCACTGCAGTTTTAAGCAGAAAATACTCAGCAATGCTGTCGACTTATGAATTTACACATGGTGTGTCTTAAAGCGTATTAAAAACACCACATAGACACATAAACAACGCTTGATTTTCACCACAGGGGGACTTTAAAGGTGCAGTAAGCGATTTCTGAGAAACGCTGTTGATATTTGAAATCACCAAAACACACCTATCTTTATAGCCCCGCCCCTAAATTCACAAAAATACTATGCAACATAGGCACCTCCCCCTAATGAGTGGACACGCCCCTTACAGCTGATTGGCTAGAAGTGTGTTTTGGTGCTCGGTCCGATCCACTTTCAACTGCATTTCTCAGAAATCGCTTCTTGTTTATTGAACTGTTCTATAAAATCAATATCACATTTGGACATGCTATTCGGGACAAAAACAGCCCTCGTGTGCTATAATATTATACGAGACACAAATCAGACAGGGGCATTTTTGCCCTGATATCTTGAATCGGGTATTCATAGAGCACTCAAATATGATAAACGGAAGCTAAAACGTACTTGATTGATGCGCGGGGACCAATGAGGTTTGTTCTCACGCGTCAAGTAAGCAAGCAAACTTCCGTTCACCATATTTGAGGGAGATTGTAAATCCACATTGCATTACCTGAGGGGCTGGTGTAGTCACTGATCCACAGCTGGATGTGTGGCGCGTTCAGACGGATCTCAGAGTAGCTGTTGATGGACGTGCCGTCGTAGTATTTCATAGCCTTCTGTCTGATGTCTCCAGCCTCATCTGAAACGTTTCCCCTCGGGGGTAATCTCAGGTCATTCAAGATTATAAGATTGTTGGACTGTAGGAAGGAAAGATGCATTAGAAGCTGATATGCAGGATGTCTGTCGTTTTATTTATTAGGTTCTACCATAAAAACGGTACTTATTTTGTAGTTCATTTTTGATGATCATTCTCACCCAACATTTGATGTCGTGACTCGAGTGGATTTTCCACTCAGTGTTTGGTGGACCTCTGAGGAACAGTTTAGACTCAGATGACAAATGCAAAGACACATGCCTGAAAGAAAATGACACACTTTTAATGTTTTTGAAAGATGTCCTTATGTTCAAGTCTGCATTTATAGTGCCCCTATTATGCTCTTTTAGATATGACCTTTCATGTAGTGTGTAATAAAGCTGTTTGTGAATGTAAACATTCAGAAAATTTTCAAAGATTAAAGTGCAGATAAATGGAGTTTTTGTCTCCTAAAAGAAAGAACCGATGAACTGAAACGAGTCATCAGTTCATGTTACATACCTACTTAACGATGTAACAAATTTGCAGTCTGTTGGCTTGATTGGCTGAGCAGCGTCTCTTAGCTCCGCCCTCAAACACTGTAGTGTATCTGAGACTGGAAGAGTTTGGTTTGTGTTGTTCGTGTCGAGAAGACGCTGTTTTCTGAGATTGATACGGTAAAACCAACGCCATCGTTACTGTTCGTATCACTGTATATCAAGAGCTGAGATTCAGATATGATAATGAGCGTTCAGCTTCTGACCAATCACAGCAGACTGGACCATCTGACCAATCAGAGCAGAGCAGCTCTCAGAGAGGCGGAGTTTAGAGAGACTGAATCCTTGACCGAAGCGTTTCAGACACTGAGAGATAAGAGCTGATGCTGTAGTGGATATTACGAGAAAATTGACCTTAGATGCATTTAAACCTATTGTAGGAGACCTTTAACGCAAAATTAGGGACCTAAAATAGCATAATAGGGGCACTTTAATTATTTCAAACTTTTGACTGGTAGTGTAGACAGAAGAGATTCATTGGAAGATGTGACAGGAGGTCAGATGGAACTAAAAGGTACAGTGCTGGTAACCAATGAAGAAGCATTTTGGACCAATAGAATGTCACACAGAAATAGAGGACACTTATTTTGGCATGGCATTTTTAGAAACCTTACAAGATGACACTGACCTTATTTTGATGTCGTCAGGAATATTAATCACGTGCAGCTGTTCTCCAGGATGCTTCATGTAACACGATTGCAGCTCATTGGATGGCTCGAACAGCTCCAGGTTGATGAAGTGTTTATCTGCTGGTGTTTCCGGCTGCAGGTCACATGTGGAGGGTCGCTGGAAGAGCTTGCCTGGAAGAGGCAGCGTTTCACAAATGATTGGATCAATGATAACACACACGACTTCAGAGCCAATGAAGCAGCAGAGAGTCTGATCTTACCCTTAATCCCAGTGAAAATGACGTTACTGGGATGTCGTGCCGTGGTGAAGGACGTGACTCCTCCATATGTATCTGCGGCCCATTTCAGAAGTTCAGAATCTCCGTCTGCCGACGGCACAACTTCTGGCGGATGAGACGGAGATCCTCCTCCCAAAAACTTTATTGAAGTCCCATTCGTCACCTGTGAAATAGATGGGAGTTTCCTTTAAGGAAAAGACACAATATAAATCTGCTTCAGTCTCCACATGCAGGCCAGTCTGTGTCTGTGGTGCAGAGGCTCAAAACACTAAATCCAAATAATAAAACAATTACTTGATATAAACTTTTTACTACTGTTTAAAGCCTGTGAATTACAGTCAGGCACTCTCTCCTAGATGGCAGTGTCTGTCTGCTTCATCTGCCCAGAAGAACATTTGAAAAGGAATGTTTATTAAGTTCCCTTTCGAAAGGTTCGGGTCCCGATGAGGTAGAGCGGAGACTCAGATCGTGGAGATCCAAGAGGATCTCTGCTGGCAACCAGCCCAAAAGAGCAGGAGATGGCTGATGAGGGTAAAGAGGATTTACCACCTGAACCCTCACAGCCTCGCTGCCCCACACATTTAGAGCTGTTGGTAGTACTGCGTACTGTTAGAGCTGATAGTACTCCCCTTGTTAGGGTCATTATTTAGAGTACTTTGCAACTCATAGCTTGTATGTTTTCATCCTTCACCACCCAGGCTCAGGTAGAGACAGATTAGTTACTCCCTACCATTTGGGATGGTTGAGTATGTTCTCCTGAGTAACGCCTGTGACATTCGAAGCTGTGGGCCTTACAGTAGGGCTCCTAGATAGTCTGGTAGCGTAAGATTGTACTCCCCTTGCTTTAAAGCAGTGGTTCTCAATCTTGGTCCTAGGGAGCCACTGCTCTGCACATTTTATATGTCTCCTTTATCTGACACACCCACTTCAGTTATAAAGCTCTTTCCTAACGAGTTGATGATCTGAATCAGGTGTGTTAAATGAGGGAGACATACAAACTGTGCAGAGCAGTGGCTCCCCAGGACCAGGATTGAGAACCACTGCTTTAAAGGGTCGATAGTATCCTGAGTACTTTCTGTTGGCAATGTTAAATAAGTATAACCAGGCCCACAGAAATGTCTGTGAGAGCACCTGGCATCTGAGGCTTGCCTTAACAGGCCTCCTTGTAGGCGCGCTCCCCAACGAGTTGGATGCTTAGCATGGCAAAGGCAATAGGTATAACGTTGCAGGCCCCCATTGAGCCTCACTGATTCTAGCCCAGAGCCTGGATAATTCTTATCAGTTTGAGCATAGTGTTCCAGAATCTATCTGAGAATCGCTCTGTATGAATACTTAGCTTCCTAAGTCTGGTCGGAAGGTCGAAGGACTCTCACGACGCCTCCCTGTTAGATCAGCCCTAGAGCTGGAGGCGCTCCCCTTATTAGGGTCCCTTTTAAGAGTGCCCAGCCTTCACAGGACTTGAAGCACTGTGTAGATCCAGGATCGAGTAGAGGTACTCCCCTCATTTGCAAGGGTTAGAAAGCGCTATGCTGAGTTCTACTCTCCAGGATGCCCGTCTCTATGATCTGGTCTGTGAACGATTAATGCCACTATATGCAGTCCTCCCTATCGAATGCCTACACAAATCAAGCGTAGCTACGGTTCTGGCAGGTCACGTTAGACAAGCTCGCATCAGCTGACTCTCAGCTGATCCACGTCTACCTATAGGAATATGACGCCTATCACTGTATACATATATAAGCTCCTTCAGTGTTATCAGCAGCTATCGTGTTTCTTAGGAGCTAATTACCCTCCTCCCTCCCCAGCTCCTCTCGTTTCTCAGGAACTAATTACCCTCCTCCCTCCCCAGCTCCTCTTGTTTCTCATGAGCTAATTACCCTCCCCAGCTCCTCTCGTTTCTCAGGAGCTAATTACCCTCCCCAGCTCCTCTCGTTTCTCAGGAGCTAATTACCCTCCCCAGCTCCTCTCGTTTCTCAGGAGCTAATTACTAGGGCTGTGTTGAAAAAATCGATTCACCAATTCTGAATCGATTTTCATATTAATTTCTAAAGATCGATCCGTAACTCAGAGGATCGATTTAATAATAGGCTTACATTTTCCCCGTGAACTTTAACTTGCCAAGACTGGGAGATCCCTGTATGCGCATTGAAAGGCTTTCACTCAGCGCGCACACTGTTACAACAACGGGCTTTAAGTGAGTCATTCGTTCATTCAACGAACACGTTCAAAAAAGCTGATTCATTAAAAGAGATGTAATGAAACAAGGTGTTAATTATTTTTAACTTTGAGTTCCACTTTTCAAGGCTCAGCTGAGCAGCAATGCGTCGCATGGGTAACGCTGAAGCTGATGCTTCACTTATAGACCAATATGGCATTGATTCAATGCGTGACTCGCTGATTTTATTTCCCCGCGGCTTCCTCGCGCTGTGGAATGCTGACCAGCGCTGCTCCTGACGCGCATTTATGGTAAATACCCGTGACATGAACGTTAAAAGGATGATACGACAAATATTTCGCTTTCCTTTGACACGACAACCTTTTTCACGAATACATATGACTTCAAAGACAGACGCAGGTAATCGGACGCGCTCTGCCGATCTCTCTCATTCACTGTCTGTGCGAAGCCTCTGTAGGCTGGCTACATCACCACGATAATAAACAGTCTTGTTTGTTATCATTATGAACTTGTTTAACATTCAATACACATGCATGAAGTTCAAAACAAGCAGTTAAATGTCTATAATAGCCTAATAGTATCAATATGTTGCATAACTACAGTCTTGTAATTCAGGTAACAGCTGGAAAAAACAAAAACACTTATCTAAATCTCGAAAATCGGATCAGATCGGATCGAATAATGATAATCGATTCAAGATCTTGAGAATCGGAATCGAATCGATTCTTGAAATTTGAATCGAAACCCAGCTCTACTAATTACCCTCCTCCCTCTCCAGCTCCTCTCGTTTCTCAGGAGCTAATTACCCTCCTCCCTCTCCAGCTCCTCTCATTTCACAGGAGCTAATTACCCTCCCCAGCTCCTCTCATTTCTCAGGAGCTGATTACCCTCCTCCCTCCCCAGCTCCTCTCATTTCTCAGGAGCTGATTGCCCTCCTCCCTCCCCAGCTCCTCTCGTTTCTCAGGAGCTGATTACCCTCCTCCCTCCCCAGCTTCTCTCGTTTCTCAGGAGCTAATTACCCTCCCCAGCTCCTCTCGTTTCTCAGGAGCTGATTGCCCTCCTCCCTCCCCAGCTCGTCTCGTTTCTCAGGAGCTAATTACCCTACTCCCCCCCCCCCAGCTCCTCCTCTCGTCAGTCAGGATTTGGCATTCTGATTCCCCTTGAATCAGAATAAATTCTCGAATTATGTTGTATCTTGAATTAATGATATCTGCAATACATTCATGTTGGTTCTGTTCTGTTTACCCTAAGGGGGGTTATTGCTGCTCTTATCCATACTAGCCTACATGGATGCACAGGTTGTTCTTGCCCAGAACAAAACCATACCGCCAAATCCAAACTGTATGCTAATTGTCAATAGTATTCGACGAGAGTGGTCCTGACAGAAGTGAGGCAGATAATGTTGAAGACTCTGTTTAGGAAACAGACGGGCTGTTGGCAAAGACTAGGCCAGTAAATTAGTCCAGGTCAGCCTCCCTGGTGGCATGTGGGGTTGATTTTGTGAAAGTGATTAGACGGGACTCCTTTCGGACCTCCTGGCCATATTCCCTTAAAGGAACACCTTCAGCGGAAGTTGTTGGTGTCAGGGATTGGGTGTGATGAAAGTAGCAAGGACTCAAGTGCAGGACAATGGGTTTTTAATGATAATAACATAAAACAAAATACAAACAAAAACTACCCCTAGGGGGGAAACAAGAAAGACTTGACTTGATTAGACTTGGCAACACACACAGGATGAACATAGATGGGTAGAATTATGACGACGAAACAGCACAGGACTGCAAACACAAGGAGAATAAATAGGGAAGCAAACAAAAGAGGGTAACGAGGGAGGACAGGTGGGGCAAATTAATCAATAATCAGGTAACAAGATGGGCGTGGTTATACAATCGACAGGAGATCACATGGCACAAGGAAACGCTGTGCTTACACCAAACATGACAAAAAAACACAAAAACATTGGCAGTAAAGCAAATCACCAGCCATGTGCTCACACAAACGAGACATGAACACTCATAAGCCACGTGTTCACACAAAACATGACAACATGAAAGCACACAGCCAGTGAAAAACACAAGCTGCATGCAACACATCACAAGACAAAACATGACATTAAAGCACATGAAACAAGGCACACAGACGAGACAAAACAGGAGTGTGAGGGCTTTTAAAAAAAATTTGTTTTATTCATTTAGCTGACGCTTTTATCCAAAGCGACTTACAATTGCTATATATGCCAGAGGTCGCATGCCTCTGGAGCATGTGACCCGATCGGGGAGTGTTCACAAGGCTTAACTTTCTAAAGGAATTGTATTTTTAGGCACAATCTGTTCTTTGTAACTTTTGCTTTGTTTGTTGAATATTACATGAAAATACCGTAGTACAGGTGAAACTCGAAAGTTAATTTATTTCAGTAATAAAAATATTTGCATGTAATTCTAGCTCTAATTGATAATCTATAATTACAGTCTAAACCTGTCCTAACCTGACCCGCAACAATTATTTTGTTCATGTTGTCAATACAGACTAGTTAAAGACATCAAAACGCAGAGATTTGAGGTTAAAATAGTGTTGATATATTCTGTATATAAACCGTACAACCTTCCCTGTGTGGGCTTGGAAACGGTCAGCGGTGTTTATTCGTGTCTCAGTGATAATAGGGCTGCACGATTTGGGGAAAATGTCATATTGCGATTATTGAGGTCAATTTTGCGATTGCGATATAAATAACAAATGGTTTCATGAGAGAACTTGTTTGTTTCTCAAGGAAAATGCACACACAGATTAGTGATAATGCTGAAATGTGTATTTCTCAACTCAAACTAGCAACAACAACTAAATGATTAATAACACCTATAATGATCAATAAGCCATTGATGTCTGGATAAAAATGTCTGGACATTCCTGTCTAACAGGTGAACTGTGTGTGTGTGTGTGTGTCACAGTCAACGCAATCTTTTTTGTCTTGTCGCGAAAGAATGGTTTAAGCATTTATTTTTATTTATTTTTTTATTTAATAT